CAATCACCAAGAGATCCCCAGATGAAAAGGGACAGAGAAATGATGACCTTGTAACTATGCCCATAGCACTGAGCAAAGTCCATCATTAACCTTTACTGCTTATATTCATATCCTATACATAGGTTATGAAATAACAGCTTAACATGAACTTTCAAAGTAAACTTAACAAGCATTTATGATGTACACAGGGCCAAGTATTAGTCAAGTTAATTACTGGTGCTTCAGAATGCTTCTCAAAGCACTTTTGGTCAGTCTCTCCGTGACAAAGGCTGTCCTTGCCACTCAGCTCTCCAAGGGACTATGTCCCCTTAATTCCTCCAAGCTAACTGCCTGACAAACAGGAACAGGCATAGCCCTTTTTATTAGGGGTGAACAAGTAGCCCATTCTCTGCTCCTCTAAAATATGATAACTCCATACACCTAAAAGTCTGGCAGTGCCCCAAACAAAAATAACTCACATAGCACAATCTCTGGTTGGATATAGCTCTAAAAATAAATGACAGTAAAGCCTAACAGAAACTACAGAAGTACTAAAAGTAAAAAATCTCATAAGTTATCTTTTACTATAAGCCAAGCACCTTGCTAAAGGGGAGCTGACTTGGCTAAAATGTGTCACTGGATGAGAACATGCAGGAGTGGCGATGGTGGAGAACAGAGAGAAAAGGCAGTCTTAAAGGGAGGGCCCTCAAGCACTTTTATCAACACAGACATGAAAACAAATCACCTGCTACAGCAGCTCTGATGTTCTCTTTGCCTTCATTCCAGTTCTCCAGGTCATCAAATCCAGCTGTCCTTTTGCCGAGGCCGACCACTACCACGCTGGGGAAGTCCTGGCGCACAAACACACGCCATCAGCCCCCGAGGTTTGTGAAAGCTCTCCTTCCCAGCAGGAAACGGTCCGTGGCACATCACTGATCTCCCACAGACACTTAACCCTCCATAGGGGGCAAAATAAGGATAGCGCCGTAAATGATTCTACATTCTGAGGGATGTTCAGAGTGAGAAACACAATCTAGGCAATGGACAGCGGTGCCTGGTCCCAATCTTAAATACATCTGCTTAATGCTGGAATGAAACTGTATGATCCAATACATACTTTCTAGCACGACTGGGCAGCCGGTACCAAGCCCACAGAAGGTTTACTAAATAACCACGATCTTCATCTCATACCTGATGCAGACCATAAAAGGTTCGGGTTTTGCCGGTCTTCAGAGGTGGTCCAGATCTAGAGCAAGGAGAAATGATTGTTCTACAAATGGCTGTAATATAATTTGCTTTTACAATATTTTCGCAACTGCATCTATGGATTTGTTTCTACAGAATGCTCTCAGGCCAGACTTTTCACATACAGCACTTCTCACTGTAGCTCAAAAACTTGTTAGCAAACTTGTAGATTGGATAACATGAATGTATTCACAAACAAGGGAAGTCACTGCCACAGATGGGCTGGCACAGGTGCTCAGGGGATCTGAGCACCGGATGCTAGCTGAGCTGATGACTCTTGAATCTTTTCCTAAAAGACACAAACACCAAAACAACTATGGCAACCAAAATAGAGGACTTGACAGCATTATATCCGTATGGAGGTTGTAGTAGGGGCTTATCTGGATGAGAAATAGTCAATCGCCCGGTCAAAAGGGGGAACTCCATGTAGCTAGGAGACAGGAGCAGAGCTGAGGCGATAGATAGCCCAGTGAGCTAGCAGGAAGGCCAAAGTCTGGATCCATGACCTAAGGCTCTCTCTACTGGTGAAGGACTAGTAGTAATACAGAGGATATGCAAATTCTGCAGTCCACCCATTAGATAAATTTTTATAATTATTAGACCTCTAGTAGAGTCTACTAGATGATAAGCTATTTGCAGTGGCTCATGTTAATACTTCTACCTTTGGAAATATGGCCTGAAACTCCAGTGCTTCCTACTTTCTCTCCAAAAGTGGTCAGATCTCAGGCCCCTTCTAGCCTTCCTGAATTACAATCTGCATTCTTACTACATCAGCAGATGAGCCACTTTAAAACTTATATTCAAATTCCAGGCAGGCAATAAATGGTAGAAATTTTGACTGTTTTTAAACTATAAGTTACAGGAGACAGACAAACTGGTGGGAAGGCAGGAGGAAGGGATTAGGAAAAGTGAATTTGAGCCAGGGGGTGAGCTGAAGCCCTGTGGTACTTCCCCAATCCTGCATCCCTTTACAACAGGGTTGTGATCTGCTTGCAAACCATGTGACTTCCCAGAACTCCAGACCTACCCGCATTGAACATAAAATGCCTTCTAGACAGTTCCACTTTCACTTCCACTAAGGAATCCTGGCCAGCGGATTTCCTGGCATTTTATCCACTAACAAGAAGGCATTAAAAAGAAGAAAAAAAAAATCTTTGGTTTGGGGGCCTTTAGGAACTAGAACTCCCAGGTAATACTTACATGTTCAAAGTTTCTCTCAGCTTTCCAGCCACCAATTTATCAAAATTCTCTCCTGCACTTGTAAATTGTGGCACATCATCTTCTTTGTCTTTGGAATAGATTCCTAAAATAAGGCCCTGTGAGGACAACCAGGAAATATGTAAGTAATCAGAGTTGAGTCCTTGGTGGTCCCAATACTCCAAAAGGAGCAAATACTTTTACCAAAACTTGGCCTTTCCCATGGACAGAACAGAGGGAGCATGGGTCATGCCGCTGGCTGGGGTATCTCTCACATCAGTGCTTCCAATTCCTCACTGAGCCAAACCAAGACGACTACTACCATTCCATAGCTTAGCTTGGGTTTTATGTCTAGAAGAGTCGCTGACCCCCACCGATAGGGAGTTGCTGACATCAAATGGAATTGTCCAAACAAACCTGCTGAAATAAGCCTTCATTTCCACCTGGGTCCACAACTTACTGCCTTGGCCCAAGCACTTGTTTCCTTTTGTCCACTCCCATATGCATGTGAAAATAGCAAGCTCTATTCATATGCTTTTGTCCTGCTGATACAATAGGTCAGGTTTGATTCTTAGGCCCGCCACAGAACAGAGGAGTGTTGAAATTTCTTTCCTCCTCGAATGCAGGTATTCTTACAAACACAACAAAACCAATGCTTACATTGACGCTATAGGTTGAGCTTCTCTTACCTGAAATGTTCCAGATTTTCTCAGATTTCAGAATATGGGAGCTGACATGGAATGGAACCCGAACCCAGGCCAAAGCATAAAATTCACTTGCTCCATATACTCATGAAAGGCATTATACAATATGTTTAAAAACTGTTCTGTGCTTTTTTCACTGTGACTTGTCACAGGAGGTCACTTTCCACTGGTGGTGATCAAGTCATTGTTCCAAAAATTCTCGATTTTGAATCTTTAAAGGAATTTCAGACTTGTATTAATAATTAAGTACTGCACCAACCTCTAGGCTTGGGAGAGGCGGCAGTAGAACATTTTCCCAGGTGGGGCAGTATCCCCGGTCTGTTACACAAACCCAGGGTCCTAACATCAAAACAAGACAAAAAAAAGTAAACTCTGAGCTCATCATTTGCTTTTGCAAGGCCATTATTAATGACTTTTTAAAAAAATTGCTGTTCTGTTTTGCTGAGGGCCACTCTGTGAAGTGGAAAGAACACGTAGTCTTGTTCCCCATGTGCCAGTTATAAGAAACCAGAACCTGGGGGGTGGCCCCTTGGGGATAGGCCTGGGTGCGAATCCAGATCCTTTCTTTCCGTGCTTGGTCCCTTCTACAAACCCCACAAGTCCTGAGACTCAGCAGTGCTCCCGCCCTCCTTGCCACCAAAGCAGACAAGGCTTCTGGAGCGCCGGTTCACTCCGCCAGGTTCCAGCGTTTTCTGTTGGCCCGTGGGGATCCCACGGGGCCACGCGCCAGGCTCTGAGAGGAGACAGCACGGTCTCCGGAGGAGCTCCGGACCGGTGCTCAGTCCTCCCCGCTCCGAGACACCCACCGGCGACCGGCCCCACCCCATCCAGAACATCCCGGCTCTCCCGGGCCCCCTAACGCGACCCCTTCACTTCGGAATCCCTCTGTGCCCAACTTCTCCACATCCAATTCCCTAAAGGAGGATTTTCCTCCGGAAGTCGCTCCTCCCCACGGCAGAGCCCCGGGCCTGACGGACCCGGCCGCGCCACTTCTCACCCCCCCACCCCACCCTCAGGCCTGATTCCTGACCTTTCACCGCGGGGGGAGGGGGCGGGCCGCGGAGCCGAGCCCGGGGCCGGGCCGACCCCGGGACCTCCGCACGGGCTGGGACGGCGGTGCCACCCCCCCCGCCCGCCCGCGGTGACCGCACGGGTGGAAGACGCGACGGGCGGGACGCACGCGGGCGCCACGGGAAGGGGAACGCGCCGAGCACGGCCCGCCAGGGACTGGGGACCGCGGCCGCCGCCGCTCCCCGCAACCGGAGGTAACTTCGGGTTGTTTTCTCTTTCTCTCCGGCCGCTCGGTTGGCAGCTCGGCGCCGGCGCCCCCCGCCGCCAGCCCCGGCCGGCCGCGCAGCGCCCCCCGCCCGCGCGCACGAGGCTCCCGCGGCGGCTCGGGAGCGGCCCCGCGGCCCCCTCTCACCTTCGTCATGTCTGCGCTGGAGAGACCGCGGCTCGAGAGACGCCGCACGCCCAGACGTCGGACGACGACTCGCCCCGCAGCCGGAAGAGGCAGCCAGAACATCGTCTCCCCTCCCAACGCCGCGCCCGGAGCCGCCCTCCGGGAGCACGTGGCGCCTGGGGGGCGGGCGCGCGCCTGGGGGCGGGGCCATGGGCCGCCACGCAAAGCACGCTTGGGGATGGGGGAAACAGGTGCCGGGGGGCGGGGCGAGCGGGCACGTGAGGGCGGGGTTGTCGGCGACCCGCCCCCGGCTGAGGCTTTGGACCAATGCGCTTAGGTAAGGGGCGGGGTCTGGAGCGGGCGGTGCATGCGTTGGGGCGGGGCTTCCTGCGCGTGCCACCAGCGCGGCTCCTTGAGCGCGCCTGGGGGCGGGATGGGCGGGAAAGCGCAGCTGGCCTTCGGGCGGTATTGGGGTGAGCGGGTGTCTGAGGTCCAGTACCGGCCCCTGAGGGCAGAGACGGAGAGATGATGGTACGACTGGACGGGGCTCTGAGGCCCGAAAGTCCAGCGAGTGGGGTGGGGCGGCCTGCGGGGGAGGAGCGCGCCGGGCCTGGCGGGCGTGGGGACCCCGCGCCGGTCGTCATGGTTACTGGATTCACTAGCGGACGGGAGGACGCCGCCCGGCTTTCCTGGGGGCCGAGGGTACGGCGGGGTCAGTTAGACCAGGTACCGGCTGGTTGGTGTTTAAAATGCGTTCGCTTTTCACCGCGAGAAATCCCGGCGGGGCGCGGGAGGGTTGGCCCCGCTCTGGCATCAGACGGCGGGCGCGCGAGCCCGGCGTCGCCGGGTCCGGGATGGCCTTCGGGGGAGGCCGACCCCGCGCAGCGGTCTCCGGCCCGGAGTCCCGGCAGCCGTCTTCCCTGTGACCTCCGCTGCCACTCGCCTCTGCCCCCTTCCCCCTGAGCTGCTTTCCTGAACGTCTTCAGAATCCTTTTCAGACTAGAATTCAGGAGCTCGGGACCAGAGAGCCCTGGGGAGCTGGGCTGAATACCGCTCTCCATTCCTCCCCCCACCACAGAGGGTAACAGGGACAGTCCTGTGTGGACCGTCAGTACACAGGAAGCGAAAGGAACGTAAGGATAAATGGAATAGATTTTATTTGGACAATGTTCCCCCCCCCCCAACTCATCTCTCTGGTGAAAGTATTCTTTGCCTCCTTCTGTGGCAAATGCTTCATTCATGTGAGAGTGATCCTCATTCTGGCAGAACAAAGGAGGTCAGGATATCTCCCTCTTAAATTTGATGGGTCTATAGCTCAAAAGAATGCCAAAGTGGTGTCTTTTGGGATTGTATAGTCTGCTAGCTTTCATGATCTTGTAGAGGTGAGAAAAGCTACAATTGCAAAATGATGTTTAAAAACGCATTCTCATATGGTTATATGTGGGCATGTGTTAAGGTTTGGATTTGGAGTATGTCCCAGAGGCCATTAATAGTGAGAATCCTTTTTGTTTTCCAGCCCTGTCAGGCAGTATAAGACTCAAGAATTCCTTTGGCCCAAAATGGGACACACACACACATACACATACACACACACTTCTCCTTGGCTGCCTAGGCCCCCCCTCTGCCTGTATTGATAATTTAGTGTGGCCTTAGACTGATATTATAAATATCCTAATGATCCCTGGCAGATAGATGTTTTCCCTCTGCTTTGCTAAAGGTTTGGTTGCCAGATGTTGGAGGCGGTAGATACTTGGAGGTGGTAGAAGGAACCCTTAGGAGGTGGGGCCTATTGGAAAGGAGTTCTCCCTGAGCATATGTCTTAAAAGGGAACATTGGGACCTATCCCCTTCCTGTATCTTTTTACTTCCTGGTCACCACAAGGTAAAACAGGCATCTTCCACTACGTACTCTTGCTTTGATGTATGCTGTGGCCACAAGTCGAAAACAACAGGCCCAAATGATTATGGACTTCTAGAACTGTGGACTAATAATATCTAGAAATAATCCTTCCTCCATATAAGTTGATTTTTTTCAAGTGTTTTTGTCACAGCATTCCTGGAGTTTTAGAGCAAAAGTCCCCATTCCAGAAGTCCTAACAGCCTAGCTCTCCCTCTGTCCCAGTATTTTAATTAAAGAGATGAGTAGCGATAAAAGGCAAAGGAAGGAGAATTAATCAGTGTGGAGAAACAGATAAAGGATTTCAGTGACCACAAGTCTGTCTTCAAGGAACTAACAGGAACTTTGAGGTTTTACCAAAAAAGGAATCAGAAGGCAGGATTCAGGCTGCTCAGTTGACAGCATATAATTTTGGTCCGGCCAATGATCTGACCGATCCTTATCTGGTTCCAGTTTTTCAGGGGGTTGTGCTTGCTTGCCTACCTTTCCCTGCTTCCAAAGCAGCGTGTGTGAATATGCTGACTACCTGTGTTCTACTTCTCCCAGCATCCTGGGAACCATGGCTTTCCCCTCTGGGAAAGCGCTCATATAATGTTTGAAGGAACACATGATTAAGCTGGAGTAGCACTGATAATTAAAGAACAGGATGTGTACTACTTGTGACATTTAGGTAATTAATAGCAGAATGTAACGATTAAGTGGCAGGGAAACCTCAAAACCAGGAAGAGTGGGTGCCAGGGTGTTGGCTTGGCTTGGGGTGGAAGGATCAGGACTGCCTGAAATAAAAGGTGACCATAAAGAGAGTGAGGCTGGCTTGAAGAGGATCTTGAAAGGTTAGGAAGCAGACCTCACTGTGTATGTGGGAGCCAACCGAGAGCCAGTGTGGTAGCTTGTAGAAGCAGGGAGCAGGAAAATCAGTGTGTTAGTATATTTGGTGGGGATTAGTGTTCAAAGTGGAGTGGAGAAAATCTGAGTAGAGTAGGGAAGAGCTAAGCTACAGGAGAAAATGGTTCATTATTCAAGACATTTTTTTTTTTTTTTTTTGTCGGTTGTGGGGCCTGAACTCTGGGCCTGGGCGCTGAGCCACAGCACCACTTTGGTTTTTTTTTTTTTGCTTATGTGGTACTGAGGAATCAAACCCAGGGCCTCATGCATACAATGCAAGGCAAACACTCTACCACTGAGCCACCTTCCCAGCCCTATTTAAGACATTCTTAAGACCCCTTTGGGTTATAAGTTGTAGATGTCTCTGAGTTGCAGTCCCACCTTGTTTAACATGAGCATTTGTCCTGTCTTTGTTAATGACCATGTTTAAAGTATTGAGAGATGCTCTGGGGCTTTTTATCAGGAGGGAAGGAGGGTGGAGAGTTCATGGACAGGAAGGTGGCAAGCTGAGGTATCATGCATCTGCTCATTGGCCATCTTTGCCAACATCCGCAGCTACAAATGACCTTCATCTCCTGAGCCTGTCATGTGATCCTCTCAACACATTATTTCCATGCAAGTTAAATAGTATTCTTTTAATTAAAGAATAGGATTAGCAAAGTCCTTGGCCCACATTTAAATGCCAATGACTGTCTTAGATTCTAAATCAAAATAAAGATGGGGAGGTCTGAAGAGCATTTTCCCTCTTTATCCCCTTTCCCCAGAATACTTTATTCTAGTAGTAAATATCTCAACCATTCAAGATTTGATTTATTAAAAAAAAGTTACAATACTGGGTAATGGGAAAAAAAAGGATAACATTCACTGCCGCTAATCTTCAGTAGGAGGCATAAAGCAGCAAGGTGTAGCCATTACCCTTGGCCGAGTGGGGGGGGGGAGTGGGGGGGGGTTGAGCTCCGCCCCTCAGGAAACAGCAACACTGGGGATGGCTTCATGCGGCCACAGATGCCAGCCCGGCTGATTCTGCAGTGGGGCTCAGAGGGAAGTTTAGGAGGCAGAGATTCCTGGAGCAATAGCCTGCATGGCTTCAGCACTAATCTGCTGAGAACCTGGTCCCGTCCAGGGACTCTACTGACATCCAGCCTTCCACACTACAAAAGCCATCTGGAAACCACTGCCTTCTGTGTGTTTCAGGAATCGCACCTTCAGCCCCTCCAGGAACTCTGGTTCCCTGGGAATCTTCCCACTCAGGATGCACTTTGTAAACCGAAATCTTCCCAGGGGTCCTGGGCCTGCCTCCACCTGCTGGCACAGAGTCCCTCACCTGTTCCCTAGCGAGCTGGGGCCTCCCAGGTGGGATGAATGTGCCTTAAGAATAAGTGTGCAAGAAGTGCCAGGAAGCCAGCAAGCCAGGGAGCAGCTGTCCATGGGCCTTTGCTTCCTGATGAGGAATTTGATAGCTTCACAAAGGAAACAAAATGGGGGAGGGGGTGACTGAGGGCAGCCAGAGGAGCAAATGGTTTTTCTTACTGGCTAGAAATTACTTTTAATGTGTTATTGCATACATTAGATGAGTAATTATAATGTGCATGCTACTTATAAAGCACACTAACAAATCAGATACCTGTGAACCCAATACTTAAGACTAGGAATTACCCCTGCCATTGAAGTTACTGATGCATTTCTTTTTTTTTTTTTTTGGGTCCAGTCGTGGGGCCTGAATTCTGGGCCTGGGCCCTGTCCCTCAGCTCTTCAGCTCAAGGCTAGCGCTCTACCACTTGAGCCACAGTGCCACTTCTGGCTTTTTTCTTTTTGCTTATGTGGTGCTGAGGAATCGAACCCAGGGCCTCAGGCATGCAAGGCAAGCGCTTTAACACTGAGCCACCTTCCCAGCCCATGATGCATTTCTTTTTCTCCCTCTTTCTAGGCTTTATTAAAGTGTTGAGGCTCAGAAGGTGGATTAGGGAAAATGAGGACTAGTGCAAAAAACTCAGAAACATAAAAAGCAAAGCCGGGCACCTGTGGCTCAGGCCTGTAATCCTAGCTACTCAGGAGGCTGAGATCTGAGGATCACGGTTCAAAGCCAGCCCGGGCAGGAAAGTCCCTGAGACTCTCATCTCCAATTAACCACCAGAAAACCGGAAGTGGCACTGTGGCTCAAGCAGTAGAGTGCTCGCCTTGAGCTGAAGAGTGCAGGAACAGCGCCCAAGCCCAGAGTTCAGGCCCCACGACCAACCAAAAAAAAAAAAAGAAACATAAAAAGCACTGAAAGGAGCTGGGAAGGTGGCTCAGTGGTAGAGTGCTTGCCTTGCATGCATGAGGCCCTGGGTTCGATTCCCCAGCACCACATAAGCAAAAAGCAAAAAAGCCAGAAATGGTGCTGTGGCTCAAGTAGTAGAGCACTAGCCTTGAGCTGAAGAGCTGAGGGACAGTGCCCAGGCCCAGAGTTCAGGCCCCATGACCAGACCAAAAAAAAAAAAAAAATGGCACTAAAAAAATCTTTGCTTCTGAGAAACACAATAGGATGCATTCCTTACTAATTCATTCCTTACCTCAAGAATTAGCATCTGGTGAGCAATGGTGGAGTACCCCTGTAATCCTAGCTACACAGGAGGCTGAGAGCTGAGGATCACGGTTCATGGCCAACCTGGGCAGAAAAGTCCCCATGAGACTCTTATCTCCAAGTAATTACTCAAAAACTGGAAGTGGAGCTGTGGCTCAAAGTAGTAGAGCACTAGCCTTGAGCAAAAATAGCTCAGGGATAGCACCCAGGTCCTGAATTCAAGTCTCATCAATGACAGGAAAAAAGTTTGGTTTTATGAGCACAGTGAATTTGCAAGTGAAAAGAAACCCAAGTCTTATACTAAGCTTCACAATGTTTGTTCTTTCTATATCTGGGGGAAATTATTAGTTTGTAATTTAAATTTTATCTTTATTGCATTAAGTTTCCTATACATAGTGTCAACGGTAAATATTCTTCCTTTTTTGCTGGTCCTGGGGCTTGAACTCAGGCCCTAGGCACTGTCCCGGAGCTCCTTTTGCTCAAGGCTAACACACTACCAGTTAAACCATTGCTGCCCTTCTGGCTTTTTTTAGTAATTTATTGGAAATAAGAGTCTCATAAACTTTCCTGCTTGGGATGGCTTCTAAAGGTAATCCTCAGATGAACTACACACACACACACACACACACACACACACACACACACACACACATACACCCTCTTCTTCCTTTTCTTCTGACTTACCTTTAAGATGACACACACACACACACACACACACACACACACACACACCCTCTTCTTCCTTTCCTTCTAACTTACCTTTAAGATCACACACACACACACACACACACACTCTCTTCTTCCTTTCCTTCTGACTTACCTTTAAGATGTCTTCCAGGAAGTTTGAGACATGTCTTAGTGGAGGAGTGTTTTCCTAGGGTTTGGTCCTATGGCAATTCTCTTCCCCCCATCCCCTGGAGCTCCCCTCCCAAGAAAAGATTCTGAGTAATTTTTACCATTAGTGAGGTATTGACCTTATTAGCTACAGTAGCTTAAGAAACCGTCCAGTTAAGGAAATAAATAAAAATACCACTAATGTTTTCTCATGGTTTTGGCCTTTTCAAATGTCCTTGGCTTGAATTATTAAATAACATTTTTGTTTGTTTTTTTTAGAATGAAGCTTTATTAGAGGGAACAATTGAGTCTAGGCATGTGTGAGGGATGTAATGCCTGATTACTATTTTATACTTGTTGAGTTACCAATTAATCAAGTACTTTAATTTTTAGGACCCTCTGTTCTCACTAAAAGGCGTGTCCATGGATGTGACTGATAATTACTGGTAAGATACAAGACCCTTAAACTTCTAAGTTTCTATCCCCATCCTTCCTGAAGGATAATGATATATAATACACTGAGAGGGCCCCATGCCCAATTCCATCTTGAAACGGGTTTTGTTTATTAAAATCAGAATGAGTGAGTTACAAGACCTTCAAGGTCCACTGGCCCTGGCAACCTCTGGGAAAGTTTATTGCCTGTGCACTTCTGCCCCCTTGTGGTCAAAGCCAGTCACACCACTTCAGTTTTCAAAAATGTTTAATTTATATAAAGTTTATGCCGTGGATTGCTTTGTCTATAAGATAAGGAACCTGAGGTAGTGTCATATAATGACAACACTGAAACCGTTAGCTTTCAATTTGAACAGTGAAAGCACGAATATCTTCTGTTGTTGGAGCTCATTGCGTTCCTAATTTCTGCTTCAGAAAACTTATCTCTGATTTCCAGTATTCCTGCTGTTAAGAAATCTTAAAGATACGCATGCAGTTGTATTATGTATAAATCATCCCTTTTCATACTACATGTTCACAGCAGTTATAAGCCAATGTGATTAAGTTTCCAGAAATAGCAAGCTCCCACCAGTAATAGCACCTTTGGAAACAAAACCCAACAAAAAGGATTTATGCATTTTTTAAATTGTTGTATTAAACAGATTATACCTACAAAAAGTTTGTCATTTTGAGACAAAAGCTTCATTTGAACTAAATGTTTTAAAATAATATTTTGGTATTCCAGAAAAGCGTATATAATATAGTATATTATACATCTTATTTTATATTATACTATAGTATATTATACTATATATGATATACAGTACATAATATGTATTATATGTAGTGCCATTACTAGGGCTTGAACTCAAGGCCTTGATCTGTCTACCACTTGAGCCATGCCTCTAATTCCAGCTTTTTTCTGGTTAATTGGAGGTAAGAGTCTTACCGATTTGTCTGAATTGTCTTCAAACTCAGATCCTCCTATCTCAGTTTCCTGAGTAGCGAGGAATACAGGCATGACCCACTAACATCTGGCATTTTATCTATGTGAATATTACATTCATACAGTTTCCAAAGACTTCTGCATATAAAATGTTATTTTCATTTAATCCCTCAACACCTCTGCCAGATGGGCAGGGGAAGTATTATTATATTGTTTTTATGGTACATGAAACTGAAACTCTGTAGCATGACCATTCCCAGATGTGGGACAAGAATCCTGGCTGCTTCCAAGCCTTCTTGGAGTTGCTGACTGTGTGCTTTTATTTTGGTGCTCTGCCCATGCGCTCTTGGATCCAGCACATCTCTTAATTCTGTTGCTAATGATGTCATTGCTTTCTATCTAGCCATCAAGGAAGAAACTGGGGAGGTCTCCCGGATGCTGCTGCTTCCAGCCCCACTTGGAATCCGTGAGTCCTGCTGACTTCTGCTTCCTGTTATCTATATCTTTGTATCTGAGTCCTAGGGTCACCACAACAGAAACCCCTGGGCTGGCTGGGCCACTTCAATGATTCAAATGCATTTCCTCCTGAACTGTAGGCTGGAAGTCTAAGGCCAAGGTTTTCTGGTGCTTCATTGGAGATAAGAGTCTCATCGACTTTCCTGCCTGGGCTGGCTTTGAACCGTGATCCTCAGATCTCAGCCTCCTGAATAGGTAGGATTACAGGTGTGAGCCACTGGCACCTGGTTTCAACATTGTCTCCTCTTAGAGGACACTGGCCATATTGGATTAAGACTCAGCCTAAAGATGTCACTGTCAATTTCAGAACCTATTTCCAAAAGATCCTGGGGTCTGAATTTGCATGGGAAAATGGACATCAGAGACAACAGTGTGGCCCACAACACCATGCTCCATCTCTTCTTTCTTCTTCTTTTTGACGCTTTGGAAGTTCTGGGGCTGGAACTCTGGGCCTCATGCTTGCTAGTCAGGGGCCACCGAACTCCTTGGGGGCAGTCTTCCTTCCTCCCCTTACCTTGTAAGCCGCTTCCTCCCTGCGGCTTCCACTCCACTAGATGTCCACCATGCTGGCCAGAAGCTTCTTCTAAATGTGTACCCCTCCCTCACCAGCTTCCAATTCCTTGCTGGAGCCCAAGTTCCCTTGGGACACCGAAGCCCTCCCTGCCTGGCCCCTGCCTTCCACCGGCCTCTTCCCCTTGTGATTGTACTTTAACCCGATGGTGCTGAACAGCTGTGTATGGTCATGTGATTTCCGTCTCCAGACTTATTTATGTTTATGCCTTCACCCAAGGCCATTGCATTCACCCCTTCCCTCTGTCGTCTGCAGAGCAGCCTCTGAGGTTCTTCTGGTGACTCTCAGCTTTGACTTCCTGCCATACCAGTTCGACCTGGCTGCCTGTGTACTTGGCTCCAAGGCCAAGGTGCGCAGTGCCCTTGGAGACAGTCTGTTTGGGAAGGAATGATCCATTAAGCCAGTCCTGAGCCTCAGGGGCTCTGGGCGCGCTCCCTGAGGTTCCCTGGGCAGCTGTTCTCTCCTTAGAGTGTTGTACAGACAACCTGATCCCTTCCCATTTGTGGCTGGCTATTCTGCACATATATATGCATATATATATATATTCTGCATATATCATCTATGTATACATATATATATTTGTGAGGCTGGAACAGCTTGTTGATATGTGTCTAATCCTTCCCTGCTTTTCTCCTTCTGCGTTCAGGCTGGATTGAGGCCCTCCCAAGGGAGGCAGTGCTGCGATGACTCGGGAGGACCCCCGTTTTCTAGCTTATGACTTGGGCCTAGAACTCCGGAGCAAGCTGAGGGAAGTGGCCAGGCTGGCCGTCAGCCTCCTAGAAGCAGCCCCTTCATCCATGTGGAGTCTTCACAGTAATCCAACAACCAGCGCTGCCATGCCCCAGCTCTGCTACGGTCCACCAGCTCCCCGGGTGGGACTTCTGATGAGTGCTCTTCTGTATCAATGCTCCACTGCCCGCCTCCCAGCCTCCAGCCTCCTGTCACCAGCCAGTGGAAAGTTTGTGTCTCTAGCCCCAAACAATGTCGCATTCATCTCTATATTCCCTGGGGATCCAGCACCATGCCGGAGGTAGTCAGACTCCCCAAATAGCCGCTGAAGTCATGGTGACGGAATCGGGTCCAGGGGAGAACGAGGCAGGGGCAGCCCAGTAACTAGGAGGTGGGGTTTATATAAAGAAGCTTTTGTTAAAGGGGGAAGAGGAGGAGGAAATAGTACAGGTGAGGTAAAGATGAGCCCAAGTTGATACTTGCTGGAGCTGGATAATATCTTGTATTGCATTATTGTAGTGATATATATATATATATATATATGTATTCATATGTATGTGTGTATGTGTCTGTGTGTGTGTATATGTGTATATATGTATATGTGTATATGTATATGTGCGTATATATGTATGTGTGTGTATATGTGTATGTGTATGTGTATATATGTATATGTGAGGTGTTCTCTAATACAATCTGTGGTCATGAGCTGGGTTGTTGTCTCTGCTGGGAAGGCTTGTTAGGGTGCATTTTGTGCCAGTGGCTCTATGTGGGCAGTGACGGCACTAGCGTCGGTCTCTTCAGGGGAGACGCTGCATGAGGGTGAGCTTGGAGGCTGTCTTCGCTTGGGATGGGCTGCCATTTCCTGGGGATGAAAACCTTCATTTAGCTGGGGAGGGAACAATAGTGAAGTGATTATTGTCCCATGTTACCCTTTGACTCCGATTCTGCAAACAGATTCATCTTTAATGATAGCATTGTCTAGAAGGACTAAGCCTGGAAATTTCCACTGCAGAGGGCTGGGTGTCATGAGACTCAACGGTATTACAGCCACTGAAACACTGTCTATTTTGCTTTGTTTTCTCGTGGTGTTGGGGATTGAATCAGTGTTATACATGCTTGGCAAATGCTTCACCACTGAGCTGTATCTCCAGCATACAGCCATTAAGCTTTATAAAGTGGAAGATGAAAGTCGGGGGTGGGGAGGGGGTGCCGGGGGCGGGGGGCTGTAATCCTAGCAACTCAGCAGGCCAAGATCTGAGGGATAGGGTTTGAAGCCAGCCTGGACAAGAAAGTCCATGAGACTCTTATCAACAATGAACCACCAAAAAGAAGTGGAAGTGGAGCTGTGGCTCAAGTGGCAGAGCACTAGCTCTGAGCAAAAGCAGCTCAGGGACAGTACAAAGACCCTGAGTTCAAGCCACAGAAAAAAACAAGATCACAATGATAGGATTCACCGAGTCCTGCTTTAAATAACTGAAGTGCTGCTTGTTGGGAATTTTCTAGAATTAAGGCAAAAGTCTCAAACTTGCCTCTCAATGAAGCGTATTGAAAGTACCAAACATTGTTTAATTCAATCTTTATGACGCTTCATATTCCTTTTGAGAGAGAGAAGTATCACCTACGTGCTCTGATTTGACGTGAGTGAGTCCTGGCTATATAAAAGTTTTGACGCATTGTGTATTCTATTTTAATTAGAGAAAAAAAAAACCACACATTCACATTTTTATTGAGGAGCCATAGAGAATTCATTTTTCTTGACTCTTTATTACTTGTGTTAATTGTGCTAATAGAGGATATTATTTCAGTGTTCATCTCATCAAAAATTACCTTCAGAGAAAAATCTGGAATAGTGTGATCATCTCTCTGGATATTGTGACCTGGTCAAGTTCACACATAAGATTAATAATACATAAAGTCATTGTCTTAGCCAAATGACGGCAACACAAAAAATGGATCTCCCCAGCAGGTCAGCCAGAGGGACGCGGTCACCCTGCCCACGGCTTGCGTGTCTTCCCGGTCTCCTTGGCTTCCAGGCCTCGTGCCAGCTCTCTACCCTGACTCACTGCAGAACAGCTTTCTCTGCCCTGCATCCTTCCTTGGAAAAGAGCTACTCATCCTTCACAGTTCTAATCAAATGTGAGCTATGTGATACTTGCTTTAGTACCCTATCTTAAAAGATTTAATTCCTGTCAGTCCTGTATGCCTGTGCTATTTTTGCATTTCTCACATCTGGCGCAATTGCTTGCATCTCACCAAATAACAACGTAGGCATGAGGTTCCAAGTATAGATCTGGTTTCAGACTTCCTAGACTTCATTATCCAACTTGACTCTGCCTGCCTTAGGTTTTCACATCGTCAGACGGCACTGAGTAGCAATGACGACTCCCTGTGGATGGAGTAAGGATCTCACCTGTTAAAATAGGTAAACCACAAGGAGAATGCCCCTCATAAACGTGCTACTCTGTCAACGCTTAGTATTTTCACCCTTGGAGTATTGCTCCGAAGGCATTTCTTGAACCCATGACTGTCCTCTCCAACTGTGTGGGCAGACCCAGGGTCTGTGGACACTTCCTGGGGTATGTGGTACCTTGTATTAATAGAATGCTCTTCTGTCAGCACCACTGAAAACACCTGTTTTACAGATGAGGAAACTGAGACGCTCATAGTAATGAGAGGCCCAGCATCGTGACACAGGGTGAAGTCCCCACTCACACTACAGACTGATTCAGGACAGGATGTGAGGAGGAGAGAATCTCAGGACTACATGTCCACTCACATTACAGTCTGACTTCGGGCAGGGTGTTGGAGGAGGGGCTCTCAGTACAGGATATCCTCTGCTGTGACTGTGGCCTCTTCTATTTTGGTCTTGATCTCGGGGAGCGGGATTTGACTGATGGCCACTACAACCAAGTTAGCTGCATGGGCCGAAGCGCTGGCCACACAGATCCAAAAGGACTCTTCATACTGCTCTTCCACCACGACGAACTGGAAGAGCTTCTCCTGGAAGTTGGCGATTCGCTCGGTCAGGTTGTGAAATTTCACTGCGGCCATGAAGCTGGTGATGGCTAACGCCACGACTCCACCTGACCCCCAAAGAGACAGCTGTCACTCAGTGGCTGGTGGCAGTCCTGAGGACTCTGAAAAATGGCGTTGGCTTAAGGAATTCTTAGGGCAGCACAAGTGTGTGTGTGTGTGTGTGTGTGTGCGCGCTGGTCCTGGGGCTTGAACTCAGGGCCTGTGTGCTGTCACTGAGCTTTTTGCTCAAGGCTAGTACTCAACAGGTTGAGTCTCAGCTCCACTTCTGGCTTTCTGTGATTACTTGGAGATAAGAGTCTCACAGATGTTCCTGCTCGTGCTGGCTTCAAACTGTAATCCTCAGATCTCAGCCTCTTGAGTAGCTAGGGTGACGGGCATGAGCCACAAGTGCCCAGTTTGGGTAGCACAAATTTTAATTGCTTTTAAAAACAGTGTGTTGGATGGATTATATAGGACTTTGTTAATGTTAATACAGATGGTTGATTACATGTGTAAATGTGAATTAATTCAATACACTTACCAACATACATACATACACCCTGTACAGATACAACCACAACTACCAGCTTTTGCCCTGGAAAAGTTTTTGGCTTAGAAAATAGGGCTTAAGACCCACAAATAAGACCATAGCTTGACCGGGAACAGATGGCTCACTCCTATAATCCTAGCTACATAGAAGGCTGAGATCTGAGGATCTCGGTTCAAAGCCAACCCAGGAAGGAAAGTCTGTGTGACTCCTATTTCCAGTTAACCACCAGAAAACTGGAAGTGGCGCTGTGGCTCAAGTGGTAGAGGGCTTGCCTTGAGCAAAGAGCTCAGGGACAGCGCCCAGACCCTGAGTTCAAGCCCCAGATCAATTAAAAAAGAAAAGAAAATGTTCTAGGCAGGGAGGTGGAAGCAGAGGGTGAGGTGAGCCTTCCGCTCAGATACCTGGAGCCTAGCTTCGCGATTCCCTGGGCAGGCGTTTCTCTCCTTGGGGGACTTCTTACCTGCCAGCACATTCCATAGGAAGATGCCTCCTGGGCCGTTGACTGCCCGGTAGGGGACCTGGGTCATGTTGAGAATGGCAAGGCCCATGCTGACCAGAGACAGAGCCAAGGCCAGGGAGAGAAGCAGCAGAATGGTCACGTGGAGGCCCGTGTTGAGCTCCTTCACCAGATGTGGGAAGACTGGGGAGAGAAGACACAGAGCTCAGGATCCAAACTTGCTTCCCATGAAGGCTTTGGAAGAGGAGGACAGATGGCAAGTTCTGGGTTCTCAAAAGTTAGGAGACTCCGTGAGGGGAACTCACTGCCCCTCGCAGGGCTGCTGCTCAGTTGACCAACAACCTTCTTTCTCTTGGAGTGGCCCTCCAGCCCAGATGTGCCCCAGCGAGCGCTGGCCTTACAGCTCGAGGGTCCAGTGTGAGCAGGTGCACAGCCACGAGGCACTGACTGGCCTGGTGGCCCTTAGGCCTCATGATGAAGTTCTCATGTTGCACAATGCTTCGTGACAAATGCAACTTTCCACGGGAATGTGGACAAACAGATGAAGTGTTGATTTGTATTTTGTTTTCTTTACACAAGTCATTGGTACTAGTTGGGAAGGTCAAATGACATTCTAGAGCACTTCAAACATTGTCTGGGACAGCCTGTTCTCAGAAAACGCAATTTTTTCTGGGCACCGGTGCCTCACACCTGTCATCCTAGCTACTCAAGAGGCTAGATCTGAGGATTATGGTTCAAAGCCAGCCCAGGCAGGAAAGTCTGTGAGACTCTTATCTTCAACTAACCACTAAAAAGCTAGCAGTAGAGCTATTTTTCAAGTGGTAAAGCACCAGCCTTGAGCACAAAAGCTCAGGGAGAGGGACAGCACTCATTCTTAGTACCAGTAACCAGTACACACACACACACACACACACACACACATACGACCAGTGACCAGTACACACACACACACACACACACGACCAGTGACCAGTACACACACACACACACACTGAAAACATCTCCCAAGCCTGAGAGCCAAGTTTTTGTTGTTCTCCCTACAAGGTATTCCTTTGGCTCACAAGTTTCCAGGCAGCCCATGTTCACAGCCTGAGTTCTGATTTAACTTTCCTTCCAGTTCTGTTTCCATCTGTTATTATCTCCACATGGTCATCTCATTCGCCCTGGATACTGTACCCGGGAAGATGAGCTCTTTTCCATGGACTGGGTCTTTCTAAGGTGTCTTTCTTCCCTCTGCTTCCATTCCATCTCCCCTCTCTGAGAGTTTACTTTTCCCTTTTTCCAAATCCTCAGGCTTGTCTTATTCCAACCATGGAAGCTAATGCCCAATATCCTGTCTCCTTATCTCATCTTGATCCGACCATGTAATCCTTATGACCAGCAGAGCAATCCTCACCAAACCCTTGAAATAGGAAGTAACCACTTCCACATGACTGGCAAAGTTCAAAACGACTGTGAACACACCGCGTGGATGGCGGTGTTGGAGGAAGGCACTCTCCGATCTTGTAAGGATATTAAATCCTGTGATTGTGTTAGATGGCAATTAGTAGACATCTGTCATAGCAATTTCACTTCTTGGCATTTATTTTCCAGATACAATGTTATACATGCTCAAGGCTGCATGTATGAGGTGGTCATTATAATAGCAAAAGCTGGAGAGACATCAGTGGGAGCCTGATGGCATACTGTGTCACAGTCACACAAGGCAGGTTTTAAAGAGCTAAGCACATATGCATGGTGATGGTAAATCTGGATATTCCTATCCATGCTTGATTAATAAACAGAGCAGAAAAAAGCCATATTAGGATTATGGAGAGAGGGATTTGGGAGCATAAACTGTGATATTGGGGGAAGATGCCCAATTCTTAGCTTCCATAGTAGGAAATGTATTTTTAAAATTTTAATTTTTTTTTTTAAATCAAAGGGTGAGTATCAGCCAAATCTCCATCTAAAGGTCTTCCAGCGCATGGAGATCTTAGTTATCATTTACATCACTATTTAGAAATTCAAGTCTTTGGGAGTTTTCACGGCATCAATGATTTCCATTTGTTTTTGAGGTTGAGTCCAGATCTGGTTCCCAGAAAGCTGAGGCTCATTGGCCTTTCATGTTTGCGCCATTTTCAAGAGTTTTAGGGTGCCTATGACTCAGTGAAATTGAGGTTTCCCACTTGAAATCCATGAATGCATGAGCCACAATTGCTCTCCAGCATGGGCTGTGTACACGCCAGGTGCTTTGCACATGCTCTTTCCTTCACTCACTCTTACAGATGAGGAAACTGAGACTCAGAGATGTTAACTAGCTTAGCCAATTAGGTCAATTTGAGCTCAGAAGTACTGCCTTAACTACTCTGCTACAGGGCTTTGAAGAGAAAAACAAATCAGAAAAGCTAGTTAAGAAGAGGTCAAAATTTTCTTGAAAGTGCAGCTGGACTTCTAGAGATTTCATTTGAATTTGAATAGATATTCAAATTTCTTATCTATTGGAGTTCCTTCATTTGACTACCATATCTGATAATTCTATCAGCATCTGAGACTTAGATGATTTGTTTGCTCCTCATGCCATTAAAGTCCCTTTTGCTTTAGCAAAGCAAATATGTGTGACATTAGAAGCAAGACCCTTGTCCTAGTTGCGATGGGGAGCATACTTGTGGGGTTGAAGGTAGGGATGGAATCAGAGAATGAAAAACCACAACCCATCTAGAGTATTAGTTGCTTTGACTAAAGTTTTTTCATTCATTGATTTCTCTTTTCTCAATTTCTTCCTCTGTAAAATGGGCATAATAAACCAGTTACTGGGAGCTTATGCCTGTAGTTCTAGCTGGAGGCTGAGATCTGAGGATCAAGGTTCAAAACCAGTCAGGGCAGAAAAGTCCATGAGACTTATATCAACCAGCGGAAGGCTGGTAATGGAGGGGTGGCTCAAGGGGTAGAATGCCAGCCTTGAGCAAGAATAAAAGCTAAGCAAGTATGGAGCCTTGAGTTTAAGCCCCAGTACACACACACAATGTGTGTGTGTGTGTGTGTGTGTGTGTGTGTGTGTGTGTGTGTGTGTGATAAGCTCTTCAAGCACAATGAACCATAGCAGATGCCCTGGGGTATGACTGTGCCCTGTGCCCAGCTCCTCCGCCTCACCATCTCCTCTCCATGACCTGCTTCTCTGGGCAGGAGATATGCTCAGAGACTTTTTCCCTTGAATAAGAAGCATGAATTTCCTTCATGTGTATAAATGAAGACAATTTGTATTACATTTATAGCTTCCTGTCTTTATACATATTTAGTAAGATCTGTAGCCTGAGTAGGTAACTAGACATGACTACAATTCTGAAATAAGTCAAGTAACAAATAGAATTCCTACTCTTCTCGGACTCACAAAGTATCGATTAACTATATTTTGCTGGGATGTTGTTTTCGCCACTGATCTGACTGGCTAAAGGCCTATAACACGTTGTCTTTGTTGTGTTTTCCTTTCTGGACAGCTCATCCCCACCCCTGCTTGGATTCCTGCCTCTGCTCTTTGGCAACTGCTCTGTTTACATCTTGAGTAGCTCCGAACCGACACTTGAATGCGGGCCAATGTCAGTGCCCCGTGCCTGCTCACGTTCCCCAGTAGTCAAGTGACTTGCCCATGGCCTCCCAGTGCTCCTCACACCCCAGCACCCCAGCTCCAGCCCATTTGCTGTTGCTCCACTGGGAAGTGTTCGTATAGACTGGCGTGGAAGCAGCGCCCGCTTCCTCACCTGCCTCCTGTCTGCAGGCGCTCAGTCCTGGGAGCGAGTCATGTGGCGTGCGTTGGCTCTGCTGTTTCCTACCTGAATGATGGCAGGCAACTTATGTAACCCCTTTCCCCCAAAAAACCACCTCTGTGCATCCTCAGAAAAGCGAGAGCTCACTCCTTATACGTGTGTTGCAAGGGATAAAAGAGATGAGTGGAGCACAGGGAATAGTGTAATGCCTGACACATATGAGCACTCAATTTGTGATAGACATTACTAATAGCGGTAAGCTAGAAAAATACACAAACCCCTATTTTCTATGTCTCTATAAAAAAGAGGAATTAACGCCTCTGTGAGTGACTAAGAACCCTGGGTAGGCGCTCTATGGACCAGGCCATCCTGCGTTAGAGAAAGGCAATGGTGAAAATGGACAGTTAGACATAAACACCCTTGCAAACACCAAACAAAACAAAGCCCAGGGAAGTGTCCCCGTCCGTTTTCACAGAGCCATGCCGTACTCACTTGTGAACCGAGACTGGCGGCCCCCGAGTCCGCATTGCCGCACCTTGCACCCCCGGAAGAGCCCGTAGTAAATGTCTCCGAGGAACTTCACCAGCTCTGGATCGGTGGCATTGACCAGGTCCACTCCGGTCTGACAGAGGATCTTCCCACTCAGCCAGTGCGGCACGGCCAGTGCGACGATGATCAGGAGGAAGGAGGAGAAGCTGAGTAAAGACGCCAGCCCATACCACACTTTTTTGAACCATCCAGGCATGCTAGTGAGTGCCGATCATCCCCTGGGTCTCCCAGAAGCCATAGAGGCTGATGATCTCTTAGGGGTCTTCTGGAATCCCAGCCATGCCTGGCTCTAAGGCCAGACCTCCCCAGCACACCACAGCAAGACTTGGAGTTCTTCCTTGCATCTTTCCTCAGCACCTGCCTCCAGAGCCTGTGTTTACTACACTCACACCCCGAGCCTCTGCAGAGGTGATCTCTCCAGACGCTGGGACTCTGTGTGTGTTACTGACTTCAGCATGTTACTGAAGGCAGTAACCCTATATCTCCCAGCAGACTAGGGTTTCAGCGGCGGGCTTAATTGCTCCCCGGTTCAAGTATTTGAATAACCCTAGCATAGACTATGTACTGACCAGGCAGTTATGAACAAGCAAAACCAGGTCGATCTGATGATAAGGTGATGCACTCGAGTCTCAAATAATGCCCAGATAGAAGGAAAATACACCCAGTTGTGACGAGCACCTGCCAAAAAGGCTCAATATCAAATGTCCATCTCTTCCGTGTGTGCCCTGGCATTTCTCTAAAATGTCACTGCTGTCAGAATTCCCGGGGCTGCTGTTAATAACACAAGGACGCTGGTTCTTTAGGCTTTCATTGAAATGTGTAAACTGGAGCTTTGTAGAATGATCACTGGCTGAACCTGTAACATCTCTTTGTGGTTGTTGGAACAGCCTAAACTCTGGACCCCCTAAACACTTCCCTCACCCCTGGTCTGATGTCTTCCATCAGAAAAAAAAAAAAAAAGCTTTTTTTTTTTAATGTGTTATCAAGTAGTAAACAGTCACACTTGTCATCAGGTCCCTCCTTCCATCCCCTCCCCATCTCTCCTCTGTCCCATCCATTCCCTTTCCTTCCCTTTCTTTCCTTTTCCCTTTTTTCCCTCTTCCCTTCCCTCAGTAGTGCTGGAATTCAAAACAAAAACATAATAACCTAAAGCAGGGTACCAGTGACACATCTGTAATTCTAGCTACTCAGGAGGCCGAGATGTGAGCATTACTGTTCCTGAAAAACCAAACCAAACCTGGTTTGAAGGTATGACTCAAGTGGTAGACTGCCAGCCATGACTGAAAAAGCCCAGCCAGTGTTGAGGCCCGGAGTTCAAGCCCAGGACTATTAAAAAACCAAACCAAGCCAGGAGAAACTATGTGAAACAGGGTTGAAACCTCTACACGGGAGGAGCAGGCTGTGGCTGGGGACGGCTCCAAATGTGGATCCGGGATGTTCTTGGTCTGAGGTCAGATCTAAGGCTCCGCGTGGAGAAGCCTCGTCCTCCTCTTCCTTGGTGGTCTTTAATGGCGTTACCTCACGAAGTGTAATTCGTGAGTCAGTATCACTGTGGTGGCCATTTTTCCCTTTTAGATTATCTCCCTCCTCACATACGGGAGAGGCCTGAAGCTCAGACTCCCCGAGGCCGCTTGGTGGTCTCCAAGAGCTAGAAACCGTGAGAAGAGCCATCGCAGAATGGCCAGTGTGGGCATCGGCTGGCCTTGATTAAAACCTTTACGGCATGATCATCAACAATCCCTCCCTAAACCCTACGGGGACAGGCGGCTGTTCCTGTCTTCAGAGTGAGGACACTGAGGCACGGAGCAGTCCAGGGAGTCGGTATCAATCCGTGTGGCCAGGCTCAGCCACAACACGTTTTAGGCGGTTTGTCAGGCAACAGCCAGGGACGAGCACGAGCAAGCCCCGCCCGGGTGCCCAGCTCCTATTGGCTGGATGGCAGGAGGGACGGGCTTGTCCTGTGTCCCCGCCCACGGAGGGGCGTGGCATCTGGGCGTGGCGTGGCGCTGCGGAAAGCAGAAGTGCCGGGGGGCGGGGCGCGGCGCGGCGCTCGGGGCGGGGCTTCGCCGGTGTCCCCGCCCACGGAGGGGCGTGACATCCGGGCGTGGCAGCGGAGAGCGCGCGTGCCGGGGGCGGGCTGGGGCGCGGCGAGGCGGGACTCTCGGGGTCGGCGGTGGCCGCGGCGCTCGGCGGGGCGTTCGGAGTCGCGGGACCCGGCGGGACGAGCAGGATGGCGGCGGCGGCGGGCGAGGCGCGCCGGGTGCTGGTGTACGGCGGCCGGGGCGCGCTGGGCTCGCGCTGCGTGCAGGCCTTCCGGGCCCGCAACTGGGTAATGCCGGAGGCTGCGGGGCCGTGGCGGCTTGGGGGTGCCGCTGGGGGGAGGCTGTCACGAGGAAGTGGGGGGCCCTGGCGTCGGGGAGAGGGTGCTTGCACGTGCGTGCGCCGCCCCGCGCCGGTCTCGGGGCGCGTGCGCACCGCGGGCCTCGGCTCGGTGCTCGGCGGAGCCAGGACGCGGGATCGGGAGAGAAAGTTCCAGATGAGGGTCAGGCCTGGACCCCGGCCGTCCCCGCCCAGCCGGGCCTGACGCCCCGGGGCACACGAAGCCCCTCGAAGCAGGAGGAGGGCCCAGCCTTTCCTTCGGGCTCAGAGTCCAGCGTAGGATTCGCTCCATCCCCACCCCCGAGATGCGCGGGCCGGCCTCCCAGATCGGCGCGGGGAGCCGCGGCACCGCGGGCTCCACGGGCTCCACGGGCTCCCAACTTCATCCAGCCCTTCCGAGAACGTCCGTGCGCCCGTGCGGCCGGGCCCAGTGCGGGCAGCGGAAAGCCGCGCCTTCCCGGTGGGGTTCGTGGTTCACCGGGACTCGGGCACGGTCTGGGGAACTGGTGGACCTCCATTCTTTGTCCTTGTTACCCCCCTTCCTGTCCTGGGGCGGGCGTGCTGGAGACTTCTTTGTGTCATTGTGACTCCCCCGGGCTTGTTTTGATCCCTGTTTAGAGTGGAGATACTGATCTCTGGGGACTTCAGACTGAACAGCCCCGTTTTCGGAATATGAACCCAGCCTCACCTGTGCCAGCAGAGTTTTTCATTTTTCTCATTTAATTCTTTCTAACCAACCTTATTAATCTTTAACAGCCTGCTTTTTGGGGGAGGAAACTGCCAACTGATTAACACACACACACACACACACACACACACACACACACGCCACTTTGTGGCAGAGTCAGCATTCAGACCCCAAACCTACTGCCAACTGATTAACACACCCACACACGCCACTTTGTGGCAGAGTCAGCATTCAGACCCCAAACCTGAAACCCCTCTGATTCAGGGCAGCAGTCCTAGTGGGGCAGGGTCCTCCAGATGTGGTCCTGCAAGTGGAATCTGGGCAGCCACTTGTTTATATAACATATATATTATATGTTATAATATATTTTTATTAGCCTAAGAGCTAAGAAGAGTTTGCCATTTTCAAAGGGATTAAAAAATTGAGATCTGGATTGCTGTCTCTGGGTGTCCCTAGAAGGAGGGTTTGCCCTGGAGAAGTAGTGGTGGGGAGGAAGGAAGGTGTTGGGGTGTAGGGTGCATAAGAGGTAAGAGGTCAGCGCTGTTTTTTTTTGTTGTTGTTTGTTTTTTTGTTTTTGTCAGTTATGAGACTTGAACTCTGGGCCTGGAAACTGTCCCTCAGCTCTTCAGCTCAAGGCTAGCGCTCTACCACTTGAGCCACAGTGAGCTAAGAGTCTCACGGACTTTCCTGCCTGGGCTGGCTTTGAACTGCGATCCTCAGATCTCAGCCTCCTGAGTAGCTAGGATGACAGGAGTTAGCCACCAGTGCCCTGCTTTGTTTGTTTTTTTCCACTTGTATCTTGAGCATCCCTGAAATACTTTCCCCCAAGTAAGCTTTTTTTTTTTCTTCTTCTGGTGTTCGGGGCAGAACCTTTGAGTGTGTGAAGCAAGCGCTCTGTGACTGAGCTACACCCTCAGCCCCAGGCCAAAGCTTTTTTGAGAGCCCATGTGATGCCCCAACTGGAAAACGCTGTATCATGAAACTTCACTGCTTGCACAAAATCATTTTCTAAAAAATTGTGAGAAGGAAAAACTAGTAGAGAGCAAAGGAAAGGGTGATACTGTCCAAAAGAAATGAATTCATTACCCGCCTTATGAAATGATAACCCCTTTGTACATCACCTTTATAATGACAAAAATATTTAATAAACATTGTGTAAAATGACCTTCGGGCTATGAGTATAAAGTATATATGAAACAAGTGAATTTTGGGTTTAGACTTGAATCCTATCCCCAAGATATTGTCTATGTCCATATAGATATCTATGGATATATAGATATATATGCAAATACTCCAAAATTTTTTTTAAAGTCCAAAATATGAAACATTTCCAGTTGCAAGCATTTTGGATAGGGATACCTATAAGCCCACCTTCCTCCCCTCCCTCCGTTTCCAGGTGTGGGTCTTTAAAGAAGTAAGAACTTCCTCTCTCCTCACCAAAACTATTTTTTCCTTTGCTCAGTGGGTTGCCAGCATTGACGTGGTGGAGAACGAAGAAGCGAGTGCCAGTGTCATTGTTAAAATGACAGACTCATTCACGGAGCAGGCCGATCAGGTAGTTCCAGAAAGATCTCTAAATGCTGCAGCAGGAGAGCTTTGGGGAGGGGTTGCCCTGGCTAGGTCTTTTTTTCCTTCAGTGATTTATTTCTCACAGTGTTGGGGGTAGAGACCAGGGCCTGGAGCACTCTGGGAAAGTGCTCTGCCACGGAACCTCCCCCTCCAGCCTCCCACTATTGCCTCTGTAATGATAAAAGCTATTTGTGTCTGTGGAGGAAAAGTTGGAGAAAGTAAAAAAAGAAAAAATGGATCTGGTTCCAGTGGCTCACACATGCAATTTTTGCTACTCGGGAGGCTGAGATCTGAGGATGCCAAGCCCAGCAGGAAAGTCTGTGAGACTTGTCTCTAATTAACTCCAAAAATCCAGAAATGGAGCTGTGGTTCAAGTGGTCAAGTGCTAGCCCTGAGCAAGAGAAGCTCAGGGACAGTGCCCAGGCCCTGAGCTCAAACTCCAGAACCAACAAAAAAAATTAATTACAAAGATAAATTGTATAATCTTATTTTCTTGTCTGGCTTAGGCATACTGATTATTACTTTTGCAAGTAGGAATAATTTCGTATTATTATTTTACAGTTAGACTTTTTAAAAAAATTTATTCTTTAAACGTATCTTCAGATATACTTAACTCTTAAAGGTAAATGTATATTCAAATTGTGTATGTAAATATTATACATTTAATTTAAATACCAGTGCGTTACTTTAAAAAAGCCTCTTTGTAGACAGAGCTTTTCACTTTGTGGATTGCCCACAGTTTACTTTCTGCTTCATGGTTTTTTTTGTTTTGTTTTGTTTTTATTGCTTTACTATTTATCAAGAATGGTGTGGTGACCATCTTTGTCTCTGTATCTGATTGGTCTTTATCTGATTTGGGTCTTTTCTAAAAAATAGAGTTACCTAGCTCAAAGCATGAACAGATTTTTTGTTCAGTTTATATGTTATATGTTCAGTTATAATGTTATTCCTGTTATGTAAAACAAGAAGCCCGTTAGAATGACACAAATATGGAGGGAAACTGTGATTCATTCCTTTCCTCCCTAGGAGAGGGTCACTTTCTAGAAGGATCATTGGTACTGATGTGCCGATGTCTTCATCTACATTTCGTGGTTGTTCTCACTCAGAGGAGTCTTCCACGCGGCGGCGCCGGGCTCGGTGGAGTGTGTCCTGCGCCAGTGCCCCAGCCCTGGTTCACAGAGAACCCTTCCCTCTTTGTATGATGCACCACATTTTTCTGAATTTTGAGATTTCTTTTCCAGTGCTGGTACTGGGGCTTGAATTCAGTGCCTTGGGGCTGTCCCTTAGCTTTTTTGCTCAAGGCTAGTGCTGTTTGAGCCACAGCTCCACTTGTAGCTTTTTCTTGCATGCCAGAGGGTCGGAGTGGGTGGTGGCGTGGGGTGGGGTGATTATTTGGGGATAAGAATCTCACGAACTTTCCTTCCCCTGCTGACTTTGAACTGTGACCCTCAGACCCGAGGCTTCTGTGTAGCTCAGGTTACAGGCGTGAGCCACCAGCACCAGGCTTGATGTGCCATTTGTTCACCACCATTCTATGAGGCTGGGGATGGGCAGTTTTCCCTCTGGAAGCGCTGGTTTCAGGTGCTGAGTGGCATGGCCAGCCAGCCAGCCAGGGCGCGGCGGAGCGCGCTCTTCATGTGAACTCGGGGTCTGAGTGGGTGGACTTTACATTCAGTTGCGCTTTCCCTCATCATCGGGACACTGAAGACAAGACCATTGGCCATTCTGAATAATAAATGCGGGCACCAAACTCAGCAGATGCCCAGCTCTCTTCCATGAATAGTGTAGTCTTTGTATATAACCTGTAATCCTCCAGTACACCTTAAACCATCTCTCAATGACAGTACTTACATAATAGCAATACCATGTTAATACTTGTTAAACCATGTTATTTAGTATAATGACAACAAAAAGAAGTCCTTAACATGTTTAACAGATACAAGGTTTTTTTCTTTTTTTTTTTTCCCCAGAATATTTCAGTTTGAGGTCGTTTGAAACTTTGGATGTGTAGGCCACGTAGGACCCTCATTTTTACCTATGTGATACCTGGGCTGTACTAGACGTTGACACGGCCTCATGAGCTGCCAGCCACCATTCTGAGGGCTGTATTTACATGAAGGCACCTGGTCTCCATACAACGCGCAACATCTGTTTCTCATGTTATCTCCCTTTTAGAAATGATGAGGCGGAAGCCCAGAAACACTAGGTCTTCGCTCAGGGTCAAAAGGCAGGGGTAGCTTCTGTGGGATTTGAGCTGGCAGTGGTGGCAGTGGGGTTTGATGGCTATGCTCTTAGCATTGAGCGAAAGCAAATAGCATCATGTGAGCAGAGTAGGGAGAGCTGGGACTGGGCGGGGGTGGAGTCCCCGGGTCTGGAGAAGCGTGTGCCTTCTATGAGTGGGTCCCCGTGGTCTGGGCCGCCAGCGGCTCCGTGTTCACCGCAGGTCCTGATGTGCACAAGGGCTGCCTGAGTTGCTGCTGCCTGAGACTTGAGTATGAAAAGCATCAGGAAGACTCAGACGGCCCCAGGGCTGGCAGAACAAAACCAAAAAGAACTCCCAAGCACTCTGTACTCACCAACATTTTGCCATTGACAATCTTACCTTGCTGTTGATATTTCGTGGACATTTTCTTAGGTTACGATTCTATCATTTGTGAAGAAAGTTTAAAAAGGAATATACCAGAATATATTACTACTCTATTTCTGGCTTTTTCTTGGTCTTTTCTCTTTTTGGTACTGGGGATCGAACCCAGGATGTTGCACGTGGTACACAAGCGCTTTGCCACTGTTACACCCCAACACATCTCAGCGTTCTCCACTGTCTGTAAGGAGACTAGCCTGCTTCAGGAGAATCTCACTGAAATCGACTTGGACCTCAGCAGTGTATGGTCTGTGGACTAGTTTCCTATGCAAATTGCCAGCCAGCTTTATAGGAAGAAAGAAACTGAGGTGTCTGTAAGGGTGCGTTTCAGTTTGCCCTACAGCTCACGCCGCTTTGTGTCCCTGTGTTCAAGGTGACCGCTGAGGTTGGAAAGCTCTTGGGTGATCAGAAGGTGGATGCCATTCTTTGTGTGGCCGGAGGATGGGCCGGGGGCAATGCCAAATCCAAATGTAAGTTGTTTTCTGAGTTAATCATTCATTGTGCTCTGCTCTGCCCTTTGCCCTGCTGACATGGATTGCCCGCCACCTGGGTGCCAGGCAGCTGTCTGGCTGTTTGTCTCCCGGAATCTTTACAGTAGCTGAGCATGTCTGTTTGACTGGGCTGTGTGTAAAGAACAGATTATTTCTCACAGTTCTGGAGGATGGGACATCCAAAGCTGAGGTTTTGGCCCCTGCAAGGGCCTCCGCTAGCATCATCCCCCAGTGGAAGAGAACACGGGGAATAGAGTGGAACGGGGCCTGGAACCCATCTTTTTGCCAGTAGCCCATTCCTGCAGTAATGGCTTCACCAGTTTGTGAGTGCAGAGCTCTTGACTTGACTCTTTAAAAAAGTGGCAGTACTGGGGTTTGAACTCAGGGCCTTCCTCACTCTTGCTTATGCTACCATTTGAAGCATGTCTCCAGCCCTACTTATTTTGCTGCTTTTTTTTTTTTTTTTCCCCCGGTCGTGGGGCCTGAACTCTGGGCCTGGGCGCTGTCCCTCAGCTTCTTAGCTCAAGGCAGCACTCTACCACTTGAGCCACAGCACCACTTCCAGCTTTTTCTGTTTATGTGGTGCTGAGGACTCAAACCCAGGGCCTCATGCATGCGAGGCAAGTACTCTACCACTGAGACACCTTCCAAGTCCCTTTTGCTGCTGCTTTTGGAGATGAAGTCCAGTGAGCTTTCCTGTCTAGGCTGGCTTCAATTTTCTAGATCTCCATTCTCTTGAGCAGCTAGGATTCTAGCTCAGTCCCTGACACTGGGCATGGCCTCCCATGAACACATCCGTCCATCAGCACTGCGCACTGGGGATTAAGTTTCCCACACCTGACCTTGGAACCACCTTCACACATAGATCTCTATTGCAAGGTAGTGACAACACCTCATTTTATGGGTGAAGGAAAAGCTTCCCACTGAGTAATAATCTTTTGGAATTTTTATCAAGACCAAAAGCTGACATAAACATATACGTTCTTAAAAATCTAATCCCATCATAAGATTAAACAGGTGTGAGTGTGTGTGTGTGTGTGTGTGTGTGTGCACGAGTGTGCACATGTTCTCATATTGGGCTTGAACTCAGGACCTGGATGTGTCTCTGAGCTTTTTCACTCAGGGCTAGTGCTCTACCTCTTGGATCACAGCTCTACTTCTGGCTTTTTGCTCACTAATTGGAAATAAGAGTCTCTCAGATTTATCTGCCTAGTCTGGCTTCAAACCTTGATCCTCAGATCTCAGTATCCTGCCTAGCTAGGATTACAGGTATGAGCTACCAGTGCCTGGCTGGTTAAACAGGTTTGAGACAATACCAATCTAGTGAATTTATTAACCTCAGCTTTGTCTGCTTAAACTTACTGGTTCAAATTTTACCAAGTAGCAGGTAGGAAAGCTGAGCCTTGATTGGGATATCAAAACTGTGCCCCTGCCATTGAACCGGATGTTGTTTGTATCAATTAGATCTTGTTACAAATGGGGATGAGGAATGGGGGGGGGGGGGGGACACCTTGGAAGGGTCTTTCTTGAGTCTTGGGTTGTGTGAGTTGAGCATGAATTTTGATTCCTTCTCTGGGAATGATGAGCCCACTTTTTTTTCTCTTTCCTTCTTTCCCTTCTTCCCTTCCTTCCTTCTCAGCTCTCTTTAAAAACTGTGACCTGATGTGGAAGCAGAGTATGTGGACGTCGACCATCTCCAGCCACCTGGCCACCAAGCACCTGAAGGAGGGCGGCCTCTTGACCTTGGCCGGTGCCAAGGCTGCCCTGGATGGGACCCCGGGTAAGCCCGTAGGACTCGGCCGTGAAAGGAGAGTGTCCCTGTGCTCTGGGCTGCTGGATGGGCTGTAGAAACTGTGTTGGTTGTGAGTTCTTTTGACTTTGGTCCTTACTTCCCGCACACCTGGGGAAATCTATGTATAGTTTAGAATAAATTATGAATCAGACTTATCAATAAACCCACTAGTTGGAAAGAAAATTGTCACTTGGAAAGCTGCTCACCTCCCCTGTCTCAGGTTGTGCCTGTGGACTGGCGGGTGAGCTGTACTAAATGCCGGACCGCCGTGGAGCGGTTAAGCACCGGTCGGGGATGGCAGTCCTGCCTTAGGGATCATGCGCCATGTTATAATTGGAAAGCGGTGTTTTCTTAGTTACGGATAGTTTGTTTTGTGCCTTACAAATGATCTCTTCCTACCTGCATTTTGTACCCAGAGAAAGGGTTGTGGCACACAGTGAGGCCATCTGGGTAGCTGTGTGTTTGGGTTTGATCCCGTGTGTTGCTGCAGTGAGTGGGAAGGGAGTCCAGGGCTTGGCGGAGCTTCGGGTGTCCGCGTGGAGAAGTCGGCCGGGGTCCGCGCCCGCCCAGAGCCTTCCCACGGTCCTGCCTGCCTGCCGTCCAGGAGCGAGAGGGACGCCCGCCCCCGGGGGCCTCGAGGCTAGGCGCCACCCTCCCCTCCGCCCTGTCACTTGGGGCCCTGTCACTCGGGGCCTGCGGGGCGCGGCTGTCCCGCGGCGGGGCGGGGCTGTCCGGCGGCGGGCGCGGTCCTGCGGTCCTGCGGTCCTGCGGACCCGCGTGCCCGGCTGCCGTGGTCACGATTGTCTTCTCTCCATCTGGCAGGGATGATCGGCTACGGCATGGCCAAGGGCGCCGTCCACCAGCTGTGCCAGAGCCTGGCGGGGAAGAACAGCGGCATGCCGCCCGGAGCCGCCGCCGTCGCCGTGCTCCCGTAAGCCGGTGCTCCCTAAACCCGTGCTCCCTGACCCCGTGCTCCCTGACCCCGTGCTCCCTGACCCCGTGCTCCCTAAACCCGTGCTCCCTAAACCCGTGCTCCCTAAGCCCGTGCTCCCTAAGCCCCATGCTCCCTAAACCCGTGCTCCCTAAACCCGTGCTCCCGTAAGCCGGTGCTCCCTGACCCCGTGCTCCCTAAACCCGTGCTCCCCTTAGTGCCGTAGTGCTCCCGGAGCGCCTGCTGAGCTCGGCCTGTGGCCCAGAGCCGCCCTTGCGGTTTCCCAGGGGCCGGTAGGCTGCAGATACTTCTCTGCGCCGCTGTGGTCAAGGGTCCCAGGCTGGTCACGTCGCAAGCAGCAGGCGTTTTGGCCTCAGTTCTGGAGGTCCATGGTGTCCGGGAGCGCGCGTTCGTGTCCGCTGCGCCTTCTCTGCGTTAGTTGGGAGCGGGCGGAGGCGCGCAGCTCCGGGACGCGCAGGAACCCTTTCTGTGCGGGTGGAGCCCCATGCAGGCCCTGTGAGGGCCGGCTCCCGTCCCCGCCGCTCGGCACACCCTGGCAGGACCGCAGGCTGGACTGCCCCGGGCCGTCTGGGCTGGTCGAGGCCTGGCTCCGTGTGTCTGTTTGGTTTTTTCCCTTTCTTATTTTCATTTTTCCTTTCTTCTCGTTCCGTCTTTAGAATTAGTCCACACATTTTATTTTGCTATAATACTTGGGTTTCACACTGGCCAGTGTGTGTGTGTGTATGTGTGTGTGTTGTGTATGTGTGTGTTGTGTATGTGTGTATGTGTTGTGTGTATGTGTGTGTTGTATGTGTGTATGTGTGTTGTGTGTGTATGTGTGTGTGTATGTGTGTGTGGTGTGTGTGTGTATGTGTGTATGTGTGTGTTGTGTGTGTGTTGTGTGTATGTGTGTGTTGTGTGTTGTGTGTATGCGTGTGTGTTGTGTGTGTATTGTGTATGTGTGTTGTGTGTATGTGTGTGTTGTATGTGTATGTGTGTTGTGTGTATGTGTGTTGTGTGTATGTGTGTTGTGTGTGTGTGTGTGTGTTGTGTGTATGTGTGTGTGTGTTGTGTGTATGTGTGTGTTGTGTGTGTGTATGTGTGTTGTGTGTGTGTTGTGTGTGTGTGTTGTGTATGTGTGTGTGTTGTGTGTGTGTGGGGGGAGGGGCAGGCAAGGCTGCTGGGATGGGGAAGGGAGACATGGGAAACCACAGGGACATTTCTCTCTGTGACCCGCAAGCCAGTCCCCAGCCAGCTGTCCCCACCCCGCAGAGGCCCCTGCCTTGGAGGTATCTTGTTCCTTCTGTTAGAATTCCTCACTGTGTGGCTTGACTCTGCCTCATGTCCACAAAGGGACTTCCCTGTCCTTTCTGTTCTGTACTTTGAGCTAGGTTTTGGAGACATTCCTGAGGGTCTGAGCTCCGCTTTCCCCTCCTGAAAGCCTTACGAGCTTGTGCTCTCCTGTTTAAGGAATATTATTCCACTTAGTCCTTGGAGATGAGCATGCCACCTTTTGTGACTACACAAAGCACTTTCCTCTGAGAGTATTTAAAGTAAGAGTGCAGTGGGCCTCTGCCCACTTTCTTCTTGTCTGCTGGGGGGTGTGTCACAAAGGAGCCTTACTGAGTGACACTGAGAGGTTGTTTTTTGTTTTTGCCAGTCGTGGGGCTTGAACGTTGCCCCAGCTCCTTTTTTGCTCAAGGCTAGCACTCTATTACTTGAGCCACAGCGCCACTTCTGGCCTTTTCTGTGTATGTGGTGCTGAGGAATCGAACCCAGGGCTTCGTGCATGCAAGGCAAGCGCTCTACCACTAGGCCTCACTCCTAGCCCAAGAGCTAACAGCTTCCTGGTCCCTGGTGTTCTGGCTGACCCCACGAAAATGTCACACTTGGTGCAAGACGCTCAGAGGCGATGCTGCCCTGCCGTGCTTTCCTGAGGGCTGCAAGTGACCTCCTTCTCTCTGCCTTGCAGGGTGACCCTGGACACCCCCATGAACAGGAAGTCCATGCCCGAGGCTGACTTCAGCTCCTGGACACCCTTAGAATTTCTGGTGGAGTGAGTATGGCCACAGCCACGGCTGCCTGCGAGGGTGGAAGGAGAAGCCCCTGCTCCTGGGTCACGGGGGACCCCAGCGTGCCCCCGGCCGTGTGGGACTCGCTCAGGACCGGGGAGGAGCAGTGGTCTGGAGGGGCTCCTGGTGGCAGCGCAGGCCCTGGCTCACTCCCCACGGACTGACCCGCGCCTTTCCCGCCGCGGGCCTGGGTGCCCGTCCTTATAAAGCGGTCCATGGTAGTGGTTGGGAGGAGACAGGGCGGCAGCGAGCGCCAAGCCCTCGCTCCAAGGCCCGGCCCCGCCAGCGCCCAGGAAACGGCCATGGCAGCGAGGCTGGGTGGAAGGTCTGGTCCGTGTCCCGTCAGCGTGGGCCATTGCCACGCTGGGAGCCCCGCGCAGAGCGCTTTGCTCCTTTGTGTTGCCCGCGGCGGCACAGCTTCTCCGCCGTCTGTGGCGAGCCCCACCGAGCGGCCACCCTGTCCTCAGAGCAGGTGAGCTGAGCACGGGGCGACGCCCGCCCCGCTGTGCCCGCTGTGCCCGCTGTGCCCCGCTGTGCCCGCTGTGCCCCCTGTGTCCGCTGTGTCCGCTGTGCCCGCTGTGCCCGCTGTGCCCGCTGTGCCCCCTGTGCCCGCTGTGCCCGCTGTACCCGCTGTGCCCTCTGTACCCCGCTGTGCCCGCTGTGCCCTCTGTGTCCGCTGTGCCCGCTGTGCCCGCTGTGCCCTCTGTACCCCGCTGTGCCCCGCTGTGCCCGCTGTGCCCCCTGTGTCCGCTGTGCCCGCTGTGCCCCCTGTGTCCGCTGTGCCCGCTGTGCCCCGCTGTGCCCGCTGTGCCCCCTGTGTCCGCTGTGCCCGCTGTGCCCGCTGTGCCCCCTGTGTCCGCTGTGCCCCGCTGTGCCCGCTGTGCCCGCTGTATCCGCTGTGCCCCGCTGTGCCCGCTGTGCCCGCCCCGCGGTGCCCTGCTGTGCCCGCCCCGCTGTGCCCGCTGTGCCCGCCCCGCTGTGCCCCACTGTGCCCGCTGTGCCCGCTGCGCCCGCCCCGCTGTGCCCGCTGTGCCCCCTGTGCCCCCTGTGTCCGCTGTGTCCGCTGTGCCCGCCCCTCTGTGTCCGCTGTGCCCGCTGTGCCCGCTGTGTCCGCTGTGCCCTGCTGTGCCCGCCCCTCTGTGCCCGCTGTGCCCGCTGTGTCCGCTGTGTCCGCTGTGCCCGCTGTGCCCTGCTGTGCCCGCCCCTCTGTGTCCGCTGTGCCCGCTGTGCCCTCTGTGCCCCGCTGTGCCCGCTGTGCCCTCTGTGCCCGCCCCGCTGTGCCCGCTGTGCCCCGCTGTGCCCCGCTGTGCCCGCCCCGCTGTGCCCCGCTGTGCCCGCTGTGCCCGCCCCGCTGTGCCCGCTGTGCCCCGCTGTGCCCGCTGTGTCCGCTGTGCCCGCTGTGTCCGCTGTGCCCGCTGTGCCCGCTGTGCTCGTGTGTCCGCTGTGCCCGCTGTGTCCGCTGTGCCCGCTGTGCCCCCTGTGTCCGCTGTGCCCCCTGTGTCCGCTGTGCCCCGCTGTGCCCGCTGTGCCCGCTGTGTCCGCTGTGCCCGCTGTGCCCGCTGTGTCCGCTGTGCCCGCTGTGCCCGCTGTGTCCTGCTGTGCCCGCTGTGTCCGCTGTGCCCGCTGTGCCCGTGTGTCCGCTGTGCCCGCTGTGCCCGCTGTGCCCGCTGTGCCCCGCTGTGCCCGCTGTGCCCGCTGTGTCTGCTGTGCCCGCTGTGTCCGCTGTGCCCCGCTGTGCCCGCTGTGCCCGCTGTGCCCGCTGTGCCCGCTGTGCCCCGCTGTGCCCCCTGTGCCCGCTGTGCCCGCTGTGTCCGCTGTGCCCGCTGTGCCCGCTGTGCCCGCTTTGCTCGTGTGTCCGCTGTGCCCGCTGTGCCCGCTGTGTCCGCTGTGCCCGCTGTGTCCGCTGTGCCCGCTGTGCCCGCTGTGCTCGTGTGTCCGCTGTGCCCGCTGTGTCCGCTGTGCCCGCTGTGCCCGCTGTGCCCGCTGTGCCCGCTGTGTCCGCTGTGCCCCGCTGTGCCCCCTGTGCCCGCTGTGCCCGCTGTGTCCGCTGTGCCCGCTGTGCCCGCTGTGTCCGCTGTGCCCCGCTGTGCCCCCTGTGCCCGCTGTGCCCGCTGTGTCCGCTGTGCCCGCTGTGCCCGCTGTGTCCGCTGTGCCCCGCTGTGCCCCCTGTGCCCGCTGTGCCCCGCTGTGCCCCCTGTGCCCGCTGTGTCCGCTGTGCCCGCTGTGCCCGCTGTGTCCGCTGTGCCCGCTGTGTCCGCTGTGCCCGCTGTGCTCGTGTGTCCGCTGTGCCCGCTGTGTCCCGCTGTGCCCGCTGTGCCCGCTGTGCCCGCTGTGCTCGTGTGTCCGCTGTGCCCGCTGTGCCCGCTGTGCCCGCTGTGCCCGCTGTGTCTGCTGTGCCCGCTGTGTCCGCTGTGCCCGCTGTGCCCGCTGTGTCCTGCTGTGCCCGCTGTGTCCGCTGTGCCCGCTGTGCCCGCTGTGCCCGCTGTGCTCGTGTGTCCGCTGTGCCCGCTGTGCCCGCTGTGTCCGCTGTGCCCGCTGTGTCCGCTGTGCCCCGCTGTGCCCCCTGTGCCCGCTGTGCCCGCTGTGTCCGCTGTGCCCGCTGTGTCCGCTGTGCCCGCTGTGCCCGTGTGTCCGCTGTGCCCGCTGCGCCCGTGTGTCCGCTGTGCCCGCTGTGCCCGCTGTGCCCGCTGTGCCCGCTGTGTCCGCTGTGCCCGCTGTGTCCGCTGTGCCCGCTGTGCCCGTGTGTCCGCTGTGCCCGTGTGTCCGCTGTGCCCGCTGTGCCCGCTGTGCCCGCTGTGCCCGTGTGTCCGCTGTGCCCGCTGTGTCCGCTGTGCCCGTGTGCCCGCTGTGCCAGCGCGCTCGCCGCTTTGAGGGCTGCCCACGGTGTCGGCGGAGCTGGGGCTGCACATTGGCCTGATGTTCCCACTCACTGATGTTGGAAGGAAGTGATATGCTGGACTCACCTGTCACGTGCTGGCCATGCTGAGCACGTCCTCCTGACCTAAGGCTTGGGACTTGGAGCGGGGGAGGGGCCTCGGGTCCCACAGAGTCCAGCAGCTGTGACCCGTGACGCCCGTGCTGGGGACCACAGTGTTTGATTGGTGATAAAGTCAAAATTGTGCCAGAGACTAAGCTTTGAATCCCGATGAGGTTCGAATTTCCTTTCTTTTTCTCTCTTTGGTGGTGTCAGGTCAGGGTTTGAACCCAGGCTTCACACGTGCTAGGCAGGTGCTCTGCAGACTCAGAGCGAAGGTCGTCACCTGACATCCTCGCTAGTATAAATAGGATCATGGTTGTGGACGGCCGAGGCCAAGTGTAAGCCTCCATTTCAAAAATAACCAGAGCAAAAGCGGTTGGGGTCATAGTTGAGTGGTAGAGCATCTTCCTTGCAAGCGCTGAGCCCTGAGTTCACACTTCAGCCCTGCCAAAAAACAAAAGCAAAATTTAAGAAGGAAATCAAATGTCCGCGCAGCTCTGAAGCACACCTGGCCTTTGTATCTGTGTTCTGCGCCCAGAGCTCTTCAGCGGCTTTTGAGCTGAACACATGCAGATACTTTTTCCCTTGTCAGTGTTTCCTAAACCTATTAAAGCTGTTTAACTGTGGTGGTCTCTGGTAATGCTGAGACGACTGAAATACGGGAGCTTGTGTATAGGTTACGTGCAGTCCGTGCTGTTTTCTGTAAGGGACTTGAGCTTCTCAGATTTTCTGTCCTGAGGTCCTGCAGCCAATGCCCTGCAAACACTGAAGGACTTGTTTGCTGTACATATGTCCATCTATTAGAATTAACCAACTGAGGTCTTTTAAAATTACTTAAAAAGGTTGCGACCGTGTTGTAAAGAATTTCAACCACGCAGAAAAACTGCAGAGATGAAAGCTGAGAGCACGGTGACTCCTGCTGCTCAGGCTGCCGTGATTCTGGTCCAGAGCTCCTGGAACCTGCTCTGGGATCCATGATGTCCAGTGGTCTCCCAGCTTCACCTCTCATCATCCCGCGCCGAGGCCATTGGTGTGAACGTAAGAATGCTTTGAAAATGCTAAGTGTTTGTTCTTTGTTCTAGAACTTTCCATGACTGGATCACAGGGAAAAACCGACCAAGCTCAGGAAGCCTCATGCAGGTGGTAACCACGGAGGGAAAGACGGAGCTCACCCCGGCGTATTTTTAAGCTCCATCTCCATACCTGAGAGGAACCTGCCAGAAGCATCATAGCCTGTGTCAGTGTGGCTACGTCCGGCACTTGTTTTCCATGCTTCTGTTTGTGGTACAAGATGCGCTAATGTGAAGTAACTTGGGAGGAGGGCGCAGCCTGCCATACTGTGCTCCTGCGTGGGTGGGGCGTGGGCAGCAGCCTGCACTGTCACGTTGGATTGCTCTGCAGCCGCTGGTCTGCCTGACGGTGGCTGCCATCTTGATAATCGGGGCGCCCTGGTATGGAGGGGCCGTGTATTTTGAGGGCCCAGTTGTTTTTGCGTGTTGTTTATGTCATAGTTGTAGTTTTGTGGCCTCAAGTTAAACTGCCTTAAAACTCTCTATGTGATAGAAGCAACATGTCACAAACTCTGTCCTGTGTCCCTTGAGCAGTTGCCAAGTGTCCCTCGGTCTGGGCTAAATGTGCAAGAGAAATACTTGGGAGTGTTCTTCCTAATAAACACCCCTCCCTCCTGTATCATGTGGTCTTCTCTAAGCAAACCCCGCCTCGTGCAGGCTCAGGCGCGGTGTGGCAGGGTGACAGGCTGCTGCGGGACTTCTGATGTTCTTAAAAGGTGTGAGTGCAAATTCTGGAGTGTGCTTTGCACACAGCAGCACAGGCCAGAGCATATCCTGGACATAGCCAGCTCTCGGGGGGTGGGGGGTGGGGGGTGGGGGGGCCCCTCGAGGGTTGACTAAAAGCGACCCTCACGTGACTGGTGCAGGCCCTTCTCATGAGGACTGGTGCTGCACCGCATCCGCTCAGAGGCGGGAGCAATGCTCATTGCTGCCAGGACTTGGCCCACGGCCTCTGCTACGATGTGGGGTTTTTGGTCTCTCGCACATTTAACACATCTACTGTTGGAAATATTACAGTGGCTCCAAAGTAAAATGGAGTGTCCTGGGATGGGCTTGGCGTCGCTTCTGCCTCTGGCAGCCACCCCTACCCATCCCGCACGCCGTTCATGCTGCAGGGAGTGTCCACCCTGGCCGGGGCACAGAAATGCAGCCAGTCCATGGCCTGTCCGGGTGGTTTCCCGCGCGTGTTGTCAGTGGTCTTCCATGTTGCCGCAGGAGTGCTGGGCGCTTTCCTCCTGCGTCACGTTCCCGTGCGTATACACTGCAGTCTTGTTCACCCACGGAGCCACCCATACACACACACCGCTTTTCACTTTAGGCTGTTGTGAACAGTGCTGCTGTGTACAAGTAGTTTTTGGTCCTTTTGGATATAATCAGGAGTGACTTTACTTGATCTTAGGCTTTCTGTGTTTTAGCTTTTTATGGAGTCCTGTGGTTCTTGTCATGGTACTTCATGGTGATTGTTTAAGGCTAGCACACTTACCACTTGAGCTATAGCTCTACTTCTGTCTTTTCTTTGCTGGTTAATTGGAGATAAGTGTCTCACAGACTTTCGTGCCCAGGCTGACTTTGAACCACGATCCTCAGCCTCCTGAGTAGCTAGAGTGACAGGTGTGAGCCACTGGCACTCAGCCCTTTGCGGTGATGTTGTAAGTATTAGAGGAGAGCCGATGGACGCTCCCTCTTGGGAAGATGGACTGTGAAGTTTCCCAGCTGGAGAGCAGCACGGTGGGTCTGGAACACCAGTCCAGCTGCTGATGGCTCCGTACTGCACACCTGCCCACCCTCACGTCCCAGCCTCCTGCTCGCCCTCCCAAGAGCACAACACGGGTACCTTAAGCTGCACCTCTCTGAGGGAGAATTGGCCTCAGGAAGACTGGCAGCTTTTATTTTGTTTACAAAGCAGACTTAATAATTGCTTATTATTTGTGGTTTTCTTTATCTGCAAAACTGAACATCGTAGCCGCTTTGCAGGGAAAATTTTTCCTGGGTCCATCTCAGTTCAGAGCAGGCAGTTCAGAGCGGCTTTGGAGCAGCCATGAAATAAACATGGCTAGCATGCACTAAATATGTGCCCAGAAGAGAAGATTAAGGAGGACGGGGTTAGCCAAAATTGAGGTGAAGAAGAAAAGGAAAGTTGCCAGGATGCTGTGTGAGTCCATGTTGCACTACTGTAGAGAAACACCTGCACTATATAAAGAAGAGGCTTACACTGGGCCCTGGTGGCTCATGCCTGTAATCCTAGCTCCTCAGGAGGCTGAGATGTGAGGATCACAGTTTGAAGCCAGACCAGAAAGTAAAAGTGGAGCTATGTCGCAAGTGGTCAAGTGGTGAAGCACTAGCCTTGAGCATAAAATCTCAGGGACAGCGGCCAGGCCTTTATTTCAAGGCCCAGGACACACACACACACACGTTTATTTAGTTTGCAGTTCAAGAGCTCACGTGATGATGGAGAACGGCGCTTCCGCACAGGAGTGCTATGGAGAGACGCTCAGCTTGTGTGCAAACTGAAGAGGCTGTGAGGGAAGAGCACTGTGAGGATGTGGCATTAGAGAAGAAAAGTGAAGAAAGTCTTGCGTGAAGGGGGAAGGGAAGCAACCTGGAGAGCCAGATGCTAACTCCTGCATCTCACGGGTTTACGGTCAACGGCTCCTGACTGGTGCCGGTGGCAGGCATTGTCACCTGACTTGGCAGTGTCAGTAGTGCAGTGGTGTAAGGGTGGCACTGGCCCCTAGAGAGAGTTTGGGGTACAACTTCAAGTCATTTCAGATACTTGGTGAAGTCTCACGGACTTAACCCATGGCCAGTTTCTAGAAAAGTCTGCCAGGCTTCAGGTCGGCTTTGTTCCCCCAGCTAGGCTTTATTGCCAAAATCCTTTCTTGGGGAGTTGGTCATGCACGTAGAGCTTGAAGCCTGACTTAGGACTTTTCATTCATGTTCCTTCAACCAGCAGAGTGCGTATCCCTAGGCACCTCTGCTCACTTTCCAAATGGCCCTCGCGGGCTGGGAGGTCAGCTGGCGAGCTGGGAGGTCAGCTGGCGAGCTGGGAGGTCAGCTGGCGAGCTGGGAGGTCAGCTGGCGAGCTGGGAGGTCAGCTGGTGAGCTGGGAGGTCAGCTGGTGAGCTGGGAGGTCAGCTGGTGAGCTGGGAGGTCAGCTGGCGAGCTGGGAGGTGAGCTGGCGAGCTCGGGTCTGGGCTGCAGGCGCGGGGCTGTGGAGGCCTGGGAAGGACCGCTTGCTCCCTTGAATCAGAGCTTTCACCTTGAGTCTGACCTTCCCTCAGCAGCTGTGGGAACAGAACTCTGATGCCATGATGCCGATCCATCCATGTATTAAATGAAGTTCTGACCAAATGAAGTTAATTTAAAAAAAAAATCAATTTCAGAAACAAGCATTTTAAATTCCCAGGCCTGTGTGGTGTGATAGAGCTCAGTTGATGTGATGCTCTCAGGCAGTTCCAAGCATTTCCACCAGGGGGCAGGCATCAGCAACAGATGAGCACACTGCGTGGGGTGGCCAGCCTGAGAAACTTGCTTCAGTTTTCTTTTTCCCATCTCTGCTCAGGCTCTGCACAGATCTAGAATCAATACGTCGCCTGCAGCAGTCCCGCTGTAAGCCTGCTGCCTTTTCCCTGCCTGCTTTCTGTTCCTTTTCTTTCCCCTACCCCATTCTTCTAGTTGGCTTTCCTTATTGAAGTAGAAACAGGATCTATGTCTGCTTGCCTGTCTGCCTGTCTGCCTATCTGTCTGTCTGTCTGTCTGTCTGTCTGTCTGTCTGTCTATCTATCTCTGTCCATCTATGGGGGAAAAATCATGAAAATCTTACCGGAGTAGATAAAGATTGGGAGATACAGCCTTACCTCCTGCAGCCTCTGTAAAGGCCAATTTAGAGAATGATTCTTACTTTTTAGGATCTGTGTAACAGGAAAACTTGGATATTTTGAGAGCAGAATTTCCCATCCGTGAGGGCAGATCACTGTGTAAGAAAGCCCCGTGGAGAACTGGTAGACCCAGAATTAAACTCAGGAGTTGGAACTGGAAAGAGCTTAGAGTATAGGCATGAGCCACTGGTGTCTGGCTCAAAATGTTTTAAAATTTATTTTTGTTCTGTTCTTCTAAACTTGAAGACACAATTTGGTCATGGTGAGAAGTTGTCTGTTAGAAATCAAGGGTTTGTCACTGCAGACACACGGATGTGACCATCTCCAGCTTTATCACAGTCCAGTTAGCTTTATGACAATGATACTTCTTATCAGGGTATTGCCATTCTTTTTTCAGACTTTTGCTCATTACATGAGATCAGTACTGAGTACCACTTTCCCACACAAATACTAGCTGATCTTTCTGTGCTGCCTGCGTTGCGGAGCGCATCATGTTCTTGGATGGTGGGCTGGGCGTGTATTTCTGGACCACGTATTGGAGTGTATTCTGTTCAGAGTTACTAGAAAAAGAAGTCAAAGCAGTGGGAAGGATCACAGCATCATGAGTAGTACACAAAAGAGAAGTCTAGCACTTTCCCAAATTACAGCTTACTCAAAATTGCCATTACTCCAACACATAGATAATCTCATGATTTTACTTTTCAAGTAATCCAAAGTCTTAAAAAGGACTGTCTGTCAAGAATTTCTAAATTTTTATTGCCTTGGAGTAAATCTGTGGAATTTCCTTAGAGCTGGATGCGCCGTGGTGGTGGACAGACTGCCCTTGGAGCCTTAGTTTCCCTGCTTGTAAGGTGGGAGGGATAATAATAACCCTAAAGTTATACAGTTAAAATACTTTATTCCTAGCAATGAGGCTTTCACTTGAAACTTGGAGCATCATAGCTATCCACTGCGTACCTGGTCTGTTTCTTGCGGTCAGGTATATTCTAAGGATTCAGTGAATAGTTGTTGGGGGTGTACAGTTATGACATTAATCATGGAATTGGATATATGGTATAAAAACAAAATTAGTTATTGAAGTTGGAAACATTTCAGATTTTCTTTTTTTTCTTGTTCTTTGTTTCCTTGGTGAGGGAATCTCCACGGCTGGATGTCCTAGACTAGCCAGTTCTTTGCCTAAATAGTTTGGTGGTTTTTTCTTAGCCATTTGCACTATAACACTTACGTTCAACAAGCATGCACCCAGGCAAATAAGACGGGAGGTGAGAAATATCTCACGCGCTCTGGGTGAGGAGCTGGTGCTTCAGCGCGGCTGCTCTGGGTCAGTCGGTCTCTGGTTAATCCGCAGCCGAAGCAGGAAGCTGTCTTTGCCTTCTGACTTCCTCCATGTCCTGGTTCACCAAGCCGCTCTACAGATGAAGTTCAGACTTCACTGATCAAGTTGGGTTGTTGTCTTCCCCTTCCTGAATCCACAGTTTCCCTTGGAGGAAGTAGGGATAGGTGTGCGACCTGTCAAGTCACTCTGAGCCCAAGCAGGGGACACACAGACAGAAGACTTGCGCGCTCTTCAGCTGTGTCCTGAGGAGTTAGAGCCGCAAGGGGGGGTCACCTGGATCACGAGGTCCCGTGGGTGAGGACAGTGGCCCTGGAGAACCACCCCATCCACAGGAGCCTGGCAAACGTGAGGAACAAGCCCACAGGGCAAAGGGGACCGAACCCTGAGGCTGCTCCCGTCCTCT